GTGATTTACATATACACATATATATATATATATATATATATGCATACGTATGTATGTGTATATATATATATATATATATATATATATATTGTTGCGGGGCATACAAAAGCAGCACTCTACCCTGCCACTCATCAGCCTCTCCGCGGTCTGCTCTGTCTCCGTCGGCTGGTGATCCTCCTCCTGCCTCGCAAGAACACCGCCGCGTTCCAAGGGCGACGCCGGCGCCCGCTGCGATGTCCTCTCCCAAGTTGAAGAAAAAGCATCGAAAACATTGCCTTCAGCCTCGTTCCCTCTCCTTTGATAGATGCTGCCGCTCTCAAGCTCCCCCCAAAATGATGTCTCATCTAGCTGTGGCGACGTGTGCCTTGAGGTGACTGCTGGCTGGACGCCATCCAATGGGCCTGTGCCCTCTGCCCGTCGGACTCGATGCAGACCCAGGCCTGGCGACGTGGACTCCGAGGCGAGCAGTAGCACGACCCCGCCAGGTGGGCGCGTGCCCTCTGGCTCGGGCATCCTGCGATTACCGTTCAACATGTTGAAAACAACTGCCAACCATCCTCTCCGCGCTCCGCGCTCTGCCAACGCGCGCGACACACCCAGCGTGAAAACGAGCTCCTCCTTCCACCTGGCGCGCCTGAACACCGCTCGCATTGCAAACGAAACCACCAGCGAACATGCGTTTTGAAAAACTTCGAGAAACCGCGCGGTGAGAGAGGCGAAGCCAATCCGCGTTATCAGCGACAACGCCCCCAAAATAATGCACCGATCTACCTCTTGGCCTCCGAAATCCAATTCGAACGGGCGACCTGTCAGCAAGGCCGCCAAGAACGCCGAGCTCGTTCAAGGTAACTATGCGCGTGCTCGCACAGCCTGCTAAACTCCAGGAACTCGCCGTGCAGATCCTCCTTGCGGTGACCCCCTCTCCCCCTCCAGCCGGTTCCTACGCGAGGGTTCCCGCGCCGAGGTCCTCGGTCGAACCCCAGCCTACGGCGGACTCCTTCTTCAGGAAAGTCACAGCCTTCTCAGGGGAAGTGGATGCATCGCCTGACGTTCCTGCGGCCGACAAGGTGCCCGGTGGCGATCTGGTCCTGGAGCGCGCAGGCGCGATGTTCAAGCTGCTGCTGCGGCTGCACCCTGGGATCCCTGGATTCGTTCCTGCCCCCGCGGGGTCGCCTGACACCGGCTGCTCCAGCTACTTCCCTGCGTCGACGTGCGCCTTGTAGCCGCCGGCGCCCAAATCATCGCCGCGACCGCGAGCCGACTCAAGATCGTCGTCCACGGCGCCACCCGCCGGCGCTGAAGATGCGGCCGCCGCTTGTTGAGCAGCTCCTGGCGGCGGCGCGGCTGGTGCAGGGGCTTCCCCAAATTGCTGAAGCTAGGGTCCTGGTTGCCATCCTGCTGGGGCACCTTGCGGAAGCAGCGCTTTCCCAGGCCTCAATGAGCTCTCACGTGCCCGTCTCCAGTCTGGCCCTGCGACCCTCCTGCCCTTGCGCAGCCGCCAGACCTTCCGATTTTGGCCAAGAAGGTTCTAGCTGCTCGCCGATGCTGTGAGGCTGCATGCGGACCTCCTCTGACGGGAAGTTGCCGCCCTGCGGCCCCCAACGCTTTGGTGGCATCCACACGCGCCGCCTCCAGCTTCTTGTTGGCTGCCTGATCTGCTTATGATCCCCTCCTTCGGCTGCGAGTGCCAGCCCTGCTGCACTTAACCATGACCTACGTTCCTTCTCTGGGACCCCCTGGAATGCACTCTGGAGGTTTAGGTTTTCTCAGAGGTACCATCTCCTCTTACCCTTCCATGTCCTGCCGCGCGCAAGCAGTCCCCTGGCTCTGAGACAACCGCGCGGGCAAGACTTCGAAGATAATTTCATCCATGGTGGCCACATGTTCGATTTCCTCTTTTGTGAATGGTGGGAATTGGCTCCAGTAGTTGTGGCCCCAAGGCTGCTTGTCATACCCAACCCAATGCCGCATGGCGGAACCATCCTTGGAGGCCCCTTGGGAGACATCGCGGCACTGGCTGCAGGTTTGACTCCATTCAGAGCCCACTTGCCGCAATGAAAGCACGTAGCTTTCGCAAAATTGTGACATGTGCTACAGTTCCTGCAGCCCCACCCTCTCGTCGCGGCGCGCGAGCGAGAAAAAGTGAGCGCGCTGGCGCTCGAAAGTGGTCCGGGCCATGCTCCCCCGAAGCCAAAATCCCAAAGCTTAGCCAATGACAACAAATTTGAACCAAACTGGCTACGGCCTCCTCGTCTCCTCCTCCTCCGCTCTCCTCCTCCTCCTCCTCCGCCTCCTCCACCTTTCTCTCCTCCTCTCTCCTCCTCCTCTTCTTCCCCCTCCTCCTCCTCCTCCTCCTCCTCCTCCTCCTCTGCCACCCTCCTCTCCGCCTCCTCCCACTTTCCCTCACCCTCCTCCTCATGTCCTCCTCCTCCTCTCCTCCTCCCCCGCCTCCTCCTCCCCCTCCGCCTCCTGCTCCTACTCCTTCTCCTCCTCCTCTCTCCTCCTCCTCTTCCTCCTCCTCCCTCCTCCTCCTCCTCCTCCTCCTCCTCCTCCTCCTCTCTCCTCGGCCCCCTTTACCAACGGCGGGCTCGGGGCACATGTTTCCTTACGTGCTGGCTGGACCCTGGCATGTCTGGCGGTCTGTCACACCCTCTTCCCGCACGACGGGGTGGGGTCGCCCCTCTCGGACTTGTGCCTTCTCCCCACACCCCGCGCCGCGTGCTCTCGCGCGCGCGGGCGGACGCTGGGGGCGAGGAGGAGGAGGAGGAGAAGGAGGAGGAGGGGGAGGAGGAGGAGGAGGAGGAGGAAGAGGAGGAGGAGGAGGGGAAGGAGGAGGAGGAGGAGGAGAAGAAGGAGGAGGACGAGGAGTAGGAGGAGGATGAGGATGAGGTGGAGGAGGGGAAGGAAGAGGACGAGGAGTAGGAGGAGGAGGAGGAGGAGGAGGAGGAGGAAGGAGGAGGAGGATGGAGGAGGAGGGAGGAGGAGGAGACGGAGGAGCGCGGAGCAGGAGGAGGAGGAGGAGAAGCAGGGGACGGAGGGGAAGGTGATGTTGTTCTTGATGAGGATGATGCTGCTGCTGATGATGATGCTGATGGTGTTGATGATGATGCTGCTGCTGATGATGATGATGATGATGATGATGATGATGATGATGGTGATGCGGAGGATGAGCATGATGGGGATGATGAGGAAGATGAGGGAGGAGGGGGACGAGGACGAGGAGAAACAATATTAGGCCTCAAACCAAACGCCAGGCTGGCCCCACCGACGCGTCTGGGTGCGCGACATGGAAGAGTTGCGTATAGGGGAAGCGGGTCGAGGAGGATGCGTCGAAGGATTCATACAAGGAGTTGGATGGGGGGACTGAAGAAGATGCGGAGCAAGAGAAGTAAGAGACAGAGGAAGACACGGAGGAAGAAAAGGGGAAGGAAACCACGTTCCGAGAGTAGGGAAAGGACGACGGGAAGGTCGACCGACCAGACCGAAGGGATCGATGCGGGGTCGAACGCAGAGTGGCAGATCGACCTGGGCTGCAAGCATCAGCGCGGATGAACGAGGGAGACACGCACTAACAAGAGGGCGGGCCTCTTCCACCGCATCCTCCAAAACCAGCTGCGGTGGCCCCCGAAGGCTCCCGAGGCCCAGCGCAAACCCAGACAGCACCCGCAAGCCCCGACCCTCGACCCCTCGGCACCGACGACCGCGACGACGACGGCCACGGCGGCGGCGACGGCGGCGACGACCCAGACGGGCCGACGTCTGCAGGCGACGGCGACGGCGACGGAGGCAGAAGCGAGGACGACCGCGGCGGCGACGGCGACGGCGACGGCGACGGCCGAGACCGCAACGGCGACGACGACGACGGCGACGGCGGCGGCGGCGGCGGCGGCGACCACCGCGGCGACGGCGACGACGGCGAGCGGACGACGACGACGACGACGACGACGACGACGGCGGCAGCGACGGCGGCGACGACCGCGACTGGGCGACACCCGCCGGCGTGCGCCGCGCGCCCGCAGACGCCGGTGCAGCCCTTCGCCGGAGGACTCGTGCAGCAGCCCGAGGGCGGCGGCGACCTCGCGCGGCTGGGCGCCGCCGAGAGCCGCCGCCGAGGGCCTCCGAAGGCTGCCCACGCGCTCGCCGCCGAGAGCCGCCTCCCAAGGCCGCCGATGGCCGCTCGCGGCAGGCGCTGGCCTTTGGCTCCGCCGACGCCGCCACCGAGGGCCGTGGAGGGCCGCCGCTGTCGTCGTCGTCGTCGTCGTCGTCGTCGTCGTCGTCGTCGTCGTCGTCGTCGTCGTCGTCGTCGTCGCCGTCGTCGTCTCCGTCGTCGTCGTCGTCGTCGTCGCCGCCGTCGCCGCCGCCGTCGCCGCCGGCGTAGTCCCTCGTCGAAGATCGAGGCGTCCGGATGCTGTGAAATCCCGACCATCCTGTGGTGCTGGGTCCTCGTTTTGAAAAGACAGCGCCCCGCGTCACTCCGGCCCCCTCTCGTCCCCTTCCTCTCCCGTCCCTGCCTCGGGCGTCCGTGTGCGTGCTTCGGCTCACCCTTGAAACGTCTCGTGGCTCGTCCTCAGAGGGCGCTCCGCCGAGGGCTCCATTGGGAAGGCCCACGTGCGGCTCCCCACCCGTGTCGGCACACCCCTCACACGCTTCGCGGCCCCAAAAGGGAGCGCTACCGACGACGATTCTCACAACTTCTTTACCCACAATGCTTCGCCAAGATGCTTTCTTCTTGGGCTTCCAAGGGCCTCCTGAGACCACTAGGGACCGCCAGATGCGGTCGTAGTCGTCGTCGTCGCCGTCGCCGCCGTCGTCGCCGTCGCCGCCGTCGTCGCCGCCGTCGTCGCCGTCGTCGCCGTCGTCGCCGTCGTCGTCGTCGCCGTCGCCGTCGTCGTCGTCGTCGTTATTTTCGTCGTCGTCGTCGTCGTCGCCATCGTCGTCGAGTTCGTAGTCGCTGGTCTCGCACGCGCTGCTCCTTGGAAGCCCTCGGCGGCGGTGGTGGTGACGGTCATTCCGACGACGACAGCGACAACCACGACGGGGACAGTGGCGACGCTGCTGCCCCAGATCTCTGGCCGTCGACTCCGCTGCGGCTGGCCTTCGTGATCGCTTGATGTTCGCCTTTGTCGTTCGAGCACGCTGTTGCTGGCCTTCGTTGTCGTTTGATGCTCATCTGTATCGTTCCGAGCCTTTTGCGGTGCGGTGCCTGGCGTCAGCCTCGCGCGCAGGTGCAGGAGAGTGCCTGCTCTCAGTCCGCTCTCCAGTGGAGGTCGTGGAGCTGCTTTCGCCGCACGGGGTCTAAGGACTTGACGTAGTCCCTGCTGTTGATCGCGTGCATCCTGAAATTCTCACGGACGACCTTGGCCTGGTGCTCCCTCGCCTTGGCCTTGGCCGCGGCCGCCGCGACCTCCTGCCCCACCCTTTTCACGCAGCTCTCGACCCGCTTCCTCTCCCACTTCATCCTGTTCCTGTACGCAACGTTCAGCTGCTGCAGCTGCACCTCCATCTGTCGACGGCTCACCTCCACCGCCACCTGCACGGACCGCTTTCCAGAGGAGATCTCCTTCTCCAACTCTCGCCGCTTGTCGTGGAGCATCTCCTTGAACCGACGGAGAGCGAGCGTTACCTGGCGCTGGGAGTCAGCGAGCTCTTTGTGGAAGTCCTCGCCCTTCTCGAGCAGAATCCTACTGGACTCGGCCTTCTTGCCCTCCACCAGCTGCTGGAAGTCTCGGATGTCCTCCCGCAGCTCGTCCTTGTGCGCCTGAAGGGTGGCGTCCCTCGCCTGGGACTCCTGCTGCAGCTTGGCAACGTACTCCTCGCACTTGACCACGGCCTGCTGGTACACGCCGTCCGCCTGGGCCATCTCCGCCTCCCGGCTCGCGCGGAAGTTCAGCAGATTCGAGGCCGCCCTCTGCGCCAGCACCTCGCGTGCCCGGCTGGCCTTCTTCTGCGCCACGGAGTTGTCCTTGACCAGCTTGTCGTTGCGGACCTGGATGAACTGGTTGAGCGCCTTGTGCTCTTTGAGGACGTTCGCCAGCTCCTCGTTCTCCCGCTCCAGGTCCGCCTTCGCAGCCCGGAGCGACCTCAGCCGCTCGGACAGGGCGGCCACGCACGAGCCCTCGCTGGACTCGAAGCGCTCCCTGTCGGAGTTGCTCCTGGCCGCGGCGCGCTCGAGCTCGGACACGAGCGCCCTGCTTCTGGCGATGCCCTCGCGCTCGCGGTCGCACCACCGCAGCACCCGCTCGTGGTCCCTCAGCGCGGCCTCGTGCTGCTCCAGAGCGGCCTGCAGCGCGGCGTCCTCGCCGCCTGCGGCGGCTGCATCCGAAACCTGGAGCGCGTCCTCGGAGGCCGCCGACATCGGGCCCGAGCTGGTGCTGTCGAAGGATCGCGCCGCACCGCCTATGCATCTGCGGCGTCCCGAATCGGGGCCCACCGCCGATGCGCCAGCGATGCGGTGGGATCCACCGACCCCGCCTGCTTCGACCCCGCCTTTGGCGGCCTAGAGTCCTCCAGCTCCCGCCTCACCGCCACGACCATCCAGCGCGCCTCTGTCTTAGCTGGCGCGCCGGGGTCCACAACGGCTGTGGCCTGTGGGGGGCCACGGTAAAGGGGGACTGGCTCAGGGGGGATACGTTTGACCTGGAATCGGCGATACATCGCCGACGGATCTGCGACAGGCCCCTCGCTATTGAAACCGCACGATCCCGGTCGGAGTGCGCTATCGGTCCCTATCGGCGATCAAATGGTGATTGGGGGTCGATGCGTCCCCACTGGGTCTATCCCTCCCCGTAACGTTGACGGGTCTCGGCTTCCAGGCCATAGCTCTACTCTGGCGCCCGTTCGGGACGATCATGGCGACCCCGGAACGCCATCTGCGAGGCGCAGCTGCTGGAAGGCCTCCCGAGGCGGCAAGACCGCCCGGGGCCGACGACACCTCCCGCTGCGCCCCCGCGGAGCCTATCCCCTCGCCTGCCATCGCTCGGACGTTCATCCCCCGTGCATGGTTTGGTTTCGTGCGTACATCCTTCCGCAATCCTGAGATCCGACGTGGCAAAAAATTTATACCACATCATGAAAAATCACGCCCGCAGCCCTGGACCCCATCTTTCTGCGCCATGTTTCGGGCCAGATCGATATGCGAGGGGTCCCGGGCCCCGACACTGAGCACAAACCGCCGGGTGCTAAAAAATACTGCAGCTCCAGGATCCCAGGGTCTTTCGCAGGGTGAGCAAGGATGCTCCTCGGCGGTCCTCGCCGCGAAAAAGATGCACACCTCCGAGCGATGCCACGCCCTGTTGCGCTGCCCTGGGGGGCCAGCGGGCCCGCCTCGGGGATCTTCTGACCCGGGTCCGGGTCAATGCGAAAGATCCTGCAGGATCCTGCACCCAAACCGGGGTCAATGCGACCCTGGCTCTGCGGGATCCTGCAAGATCTGGCGCTCTGGCTGACCCCCGTTTGCATTGACCCCCGTCTCAAGGCTCCCGACCGCCTCCGGCCCCGCGGCGTCCGGGGCAAGCGCGGCCTCCGCCGCGCACGCGCCCTCGCGAAGCCAGGCTCGAGCGCATCCCGACCCCTACGATTGTGTTGCCCCCTATCGTACTGAAGGACCACATCCCGGAAATAATTTCGAGCACCCGGAAAAGTGTCGAAAGAGTGTCGAAAGAGTGTCGGACGAGTGTCTCTCAGGACCCGACACGTGAGAACCCTCGAGTTTCGGTAATTTCTTGGTGCTCGAGGTTCTTTCTGGTGATCAAGGCTAAAATAAATTGAAACATCACAACCCTACGATTGGCAAGCCAAGAAGCGAAGACAGCCTCCGAGTAGGCTTTAAGTCGGGCGTGTCCCCCCAACAGGAGGAATACGCGAGAATAGCCAAACCATAGAAGGGGGACGATGTTTGAATTACTTGTTTGGCTATTTTGCGGCATTGTTTGATTGTTGTTTTTCTTCCAAAACCCGCTTGTAGGAGGACATGCCCGACCTAAGATTAGGCGATCGACTACAGAACGGATTCGCCCCCCAAAACTGATTCTTCCATCGAGAGCACAAACAAAACATTGCCTGTTCGTAGATCCACAAACATCCTACGCATTTCCCATTGATTCGGCAAGCACACAACTCAAGCGTGGGGCTAACCAATTCTGTAATGTATGCCCTGCTCGAGGCCTTAGGTGTGCACCCTCAGAAACGGCAGGGGGCCCTGAAGATTGGCATCGAGACAAAGTGCTGCCAATCAAAGGGATACTCCGAGTTTCATAATAAGCGTCGGGGGGGCGTCATCCCCGCCGACAGCCCCACCTCGACTCCCGTCGCGGGCAGCCACCACGCGCCGAAGGCGCCCCGACCCTCGCAGCAGCGCGGCGACGAGGCGAGGCTGACCCCCGTCGGGGGGGTGCCCCCCCCCACGCTCATCAGGACACCCAGAGGAAGGATGTGTCTCAGGCCGGCCACCTCGGTCTTCGCGAGCGCGTGGTCGGCGGCCCGCAGCAGGCCCACGGCCCAGCGGAGCTGGTCCTGGAGCGCTGCGGCGCCCGGCATCCGGCAACCTGGCCGCGCGGGGGGGCCTGCCGCGTGGGCAGAGGGCGTCCGGTCAGGGCCTCCTCGGGAGGGACTGCGGCACCATGGCGGGCCGCGGCGGCCCCAGACCTTCCAACGGTCTGACTGCTTCAGTCCCGGCGTCGTGCACCCTGAGGTCCTGGCACCTCAGCTGTTCCAAGCTGGACGTTTTCGCCTGATCTCGGGCCCTGGAACCCTCACAGATCGACCGCAGAAAGATGTGGTTCAAAACACACGCACACACAGACACACACACACACAGACACACACACACACACACAGACACTCACACACACAGACACACACACACACAGACACACAGACACACAAACAAACACACACACACACACAAAAAAAAGATGCTGCCATTCTTCGAGATATAGCATCTGTGCTATGAGATGTCGGCCTCGGGCGTCCAAGAGGGGGGCGTTCAACAGGGGGGGTCGCAAATCATGGCCCGAGGCACGTGCGCGGCCCAGGGTGGGGACCAGGGGACGCGTTGAAATAAGAAGAGCGGGACATGACCCCCCAGGGGGGTATAGTGGCCTCAACCATGATACCCCCCTAGTCATCACCCCCGCGTGGACGCCCGCGACCTACTGGGCCCTGGGGCCATGAACATTGGATCCGAGACGAAGGACCACTCCAGGGAAACTATTATTATCGCCGCCGCCGCCGCCGTCACCATCGCCACGGCGTCGTCGTCGTCGTCGTCGCTCTCCGTTGTCGTTGTCGTCGTCGCCGTCGCCGTCGCCGTCGCCGTCGTCGTCGTCGTCGTCGTCGTCGTTGGGGCCCGTGGGGCCGCGTGCTGAGCAAATCAGGACCGCTGGGCGTCTGGGGGCGGACGGGCCGGCTGGCGGCCGGCTGGCGCGCGGAGGCCGCCACCCCTGCCCTGGGCCAAGGATGCCTGTGGCCGAGGTGCCTGCGCACGGGTGACTTTGGAGAGGGGCACGCCTCCTCCTCCTCCTGCTTATCCTCCTGCTCCTCCTCCTCCTCCTGTTCCTATTCCTCCTCGTCCTCATCCTTTTCCTGTTCTCCCCCTCTTCCCCCTCCCCCTCCTCCTCCTCCTCCTCCTCCTCCTCCTCCTCCTCCCTCCTCCTATTCCTATTCCTATTCCTCCTCTTCCCCCCTCCTCCTCCTCCTCCTCCTCCTCCTCCTCCTCCTCCTCCTCCTCCTCCTCCTATTCCTATTCCTCCTCCCCCTCTTCCTCCTCCTCCTCCTCCTCCTCCTGCTCTCCCCCTCTTCCTCCCCCTCTTCCTCCTCCTCCTCCTCCTCCTCCTTCTCCTCCTCCTCCTCCTCCTCTTCCTATCCCTCCTCCTCCTCCTCCTCCTCCTCCCCATCTTCCTCCTCCTCCGTCTCAGCCTCCTCCTCCTCCTCCTTCTCCTCCTCCTCCTCCTCCTCCTCCTCCTCCTCAAGGAGAACCAAAAAACGGCATGCCCGCGCGGATGTCCTGGGTCTGAGCTGGAGCTCCAGGGGCGGTGCCAGAGGCGCCGCCACGGGGGCTCAGCGCAGCTCCAAGAAATCTGCGCGGACCGTCAGAAGTTTGTGTTTATGCCTTTTTGTTTGTTTTTCGATCCTCCTCTCCCCCGCCTCTCTTCTTCCTACTCCTCCTCCTCTTCTTCCTCCTCCTCCCCGAGGACCAGCTGTTTGTCCTGAGACTTTTTTTGAAGGCCCTGGGGCCTGGGGAGGGCCCCTGGAGGCTAGAAACTGCGCAAAGTCTTGGGGCCCGTCCCCCTCAAGACCTGCTTGCGCTGATTGCCCAAACCGGGTACGGAAAGCATGTATACGATGCCCGCGTCCAAAACCGAGGAGATGCCGCTGTTGGGCAGGCGGCCTTCTGTCTCAAATGGGCTACGTCCGCGGCGACACCGACAGCGAGTCCTGCTCAACATGAGCAGGAAATGCTGTCGGTCTTCGTATCCGTCCTTTCCGTATCCATTTCGATCGCAACGAGGATAGGGGGCTCGCTTAACACGGAACCCAAGATCTCTCAGCCGGTGGATGCCTCTTGCGGGCCTGTGAAGACCCCGAGGGCCCTTTCGGACACTCCTCCGAAGCCAAGATGACCCCAGCACCCTTCAGGGCGGCCAGTAGCCCTGGAAAGTACCCCAATCTCCTTCCTCCACTACGGCGAGGGCAGTAGATAGGGCACTCTTAGATGAGGAATCCAGGGTCTGAGACATGGTAGAACGCCAATTGAGGCCTGGCCATGGATATCACCGCCGCCCTCATCAGCTATGGACTCCTCCAGGGTCTGAAGCCTCCTGGACACATTCCTGAACCAACGCCCCAACCGTACTATCGATATTGCCCTCCCCGTGGTCCCAACTCCAGCGGATCGCTGGGCGTCAAAGCCTTCTCTTTCGTCTCTCCGAGGGGGCCCCCTGTACAAGGAAGAGTGTGCGATTTGCGTGCCGTCTTGCTGGCCTTGCCTGGCCTCCAACATGCCCCCTCCCAAAAGCCAACACCTTAGCATCACCGACCTCTTGGTACCAATAGGCTCGCAAGACTGCGCGAGAGACCCTCAGGGCGCCCCCCGAAAATGTCTCCGAGACAGCCCAAGAGGAACCCTTAGAAGGCTCCAAGCGACGTCCAAGAGGGTCCACGTGGCACCATCGACGGCCCAGGTTCCCAAGGAGTCCTCACGAGGCCTCCGAGAGGCGCCCGTGACGACCTGAAGAGGCTCCTGAGAAATCGGGAGGCCCCCAGAAAGCTTCCAGGAGACGATTCAAACGGTACCCATAAGCCGAAGGCCCTCCGAGAGGGTCCACATCCCTGGGGAACCTTGCAAATAACTCACAGAACAAACGTCCCGCATGACTGCCGGCGAGGGCCACAGGAGGCTGGCGCGAGCCTGCCGCTGTGACTCTTAGGAGGCTCTCAAGCCAAGCGCCACACTATTCTTTTCGCGGCGCAGCTTACTCTCGTTCTACTCCCGCTTCTCTTCGCTTCGCTTCGCTTCGATGCTGCGGACCGCGCCGCGTTACTGCCGCGCAGGCCTACGCGCGACAAGAACTCTTCCGCCGCGGCCCACGCGCCGTCAGGGGCCGAGGTGTGCCCGCCGCCCGAAGTCAAACCAGGGCAAACCAGCTCGGATCACGCAATAAAGCTTCATACCATCCGATATCGAAGCAGCCAGCCTATGTTGTGCCATCTATGCTGTGCAATCTATGTGGTGGAACCTGCGTTGTGCCATCTACGTTGTACAATACATGTTGTGGAATCAAATATGATGCAGTCTATGCGGTCCAAATCTCAATGTTGTGCAGGCTATGCGGTGCAACTGGTGCAAGTCATGCGGTGCAAGATATGTGATCTAATCCATCCATGTTGCGTAAGCTATGTGGTGCAGTCAACATAGTGCAATGTATGATGTGCACTCTACTTCGTGCAATTTACGGTGTGCATTCCAGGTGATGTAGTATATGGTGTGCAACCCTTGTGGTGCAACATATGCGGTTCACCCATTATAGTACAAGCAGGGTGGTGCAGTCTCAGTGGTGCGATCTATGTGGTACATTATCTGCTGCGCACTCTATGTGAAGCAATATATGTGGTGCGATTTATGAGGTGCTATCTATGCTGTGCTCTCTATGCGGTTCTATATATGTTGTACAATCTAGGTGGTGCAACCTGTAAAGTGAGATCTATGCTGTGCAAGCTATGTGGTGCAGTCTATGTGGTGCGATCTGTGCGGTGCAACCTTTGTGGTGCAATCTACGTTGTGCAGTTAATTTCTGTTCGCAATGAATTGTCCACTCCACTGCTCGCGCAAACATCCCACCCACCCACCCGCAACTTGGTTTGCAAAATCTCTTGAGACCGTGACGGTGGGTACCAAATGGCACTTGGCAACGACAGCGACGCCGACGACGACGGCGACAACGACGACGACGACGCCGCCGACAACGACTACGATGACACCGACGACGTCTCCAACGACTTCGACGACGCCGACAACGACGACAACGACGACGACACCGACGACGACGACGCCGACGCCGACAACGACGACGACAACGACGAAGACGACGATGACGACGCTGACGACGACAGCGACGACACCGACGACGACAACGACGTCAACGACGCCGAAGACGACGACGACGCCGCCGACGTCGACGACGACGACGACGACGCCGACGCCAACGACGACGACGAAGACGACGACGTCGCCAATGAAGACGACGACGAGGGAGGAGGGAGGACGACGACGGCGACAACGACGACAACGACGAGGGAGGAGGGAGGACGGCGACGACGCGAACGACGAAGAAGGAGGAAGGACGGCGACGCCGACGACGACAACGACGAGGGAGGAGGGAAGACGACGACGACAACAACGACGACGACGGCGGCGACGATATAGGAGGGACGACGACGAGACGCCGACGACGGACGACGACGACGAGGGAGGAGGAGGAAGGACGACCACGGCGACAACGACGACGGAAACGACCACGACGCCAAAGAGGACGACGACGACGAACACGAGGAAAGACAGAGGACGACGTAGGCGACGACGACGACGACGCGGGAGGAGGGAGGACGGCGACGACGACGACGGCAACGACGCAAGAGCGCGCGCGCACGCTGTTGTTGAAAATCCGTGTTGCGAAACCTTGTGTTTTTGTAAGTTTTTTGGACACACGATTTTGAACTCCTTCCGAAACCGATGGGTTGTGAAGGTTTTCGGCATACGCGCGCGACGACGCGCGCGTCTGCACTTCGTCCAAGTTTTTGCAGAAGATTCTCGCGACGGCACACGCGCAAGGGCGTTCGACAGGCTTCGACATGCGCGCGCACGAAGCCCGTTTGGTAACATTTTGTGAAAATCTTGAAACACCGATGGTTTCCTTAAGATTTCGCAAGATCTCGCGCGGAAGCTTTTTTAGCACATCAATGTTGCGAAACCCAGTGTTTTTGTATGTTTTTTGGGGAAACTCGATTGCGAAATCCTTCCGGTACCGAAGGTTTTTGAAGGATTTCGGCATGCGCGCGCGACGACGCGCGCGTGTGCACTTCGTCATTTTTTTGCAAGAGATCCGCGAAAAAGTACTATGCTAGAGCAAAAAAGTCACCGCATACTTTTTTCTTTTTTTACAAAAAAGGGCACCTCATGGGGGGGAACCCGGGTGGCCTGGCATAGTGTAAATTCATACTTAAGATGAGCATGTGGTCAGAATCATATATGATTTACATACCCGAAAGGGGGGCGATAACGCCGGGGGGGGGTAGAGCCTGTTTTGTTTTTAGAACGGAGAACTGACTTACCCTTAATTGAGCTGGCCACTCCAATGCTCGTGCAAACATCCCACCCACCCACCCGCAACTTGGTCGCAAGACCTCTTCAAGCCGTGACTGCGATTACCCATCGACGACGGCGACGACGGCGACGACGACTACAACGACGGCTACGACGACGACGACGACGAGGGGGACGACGACGACGACGACGACGACAACGACGACAACGGGGAAGATGACGACGACGACGACGATGACGACGACGACGACGACGACGATGTGCGCGGCCGCGCGCATGTGCCCCGCATGGTATTATTTGACAGGGATTGTGCCTCTGGCACGCGCGCGGAAGTTGTCGAATGAGTCCGGCGTGCGCGCGAGAAGTTGCCCGAAAACCCCCACGTGACATGAACGTTCAAAAACCAAGCGCGCGCGAACAGATTTTCGTAATTTCCGATGCGCAAGTGGTATTATTTCCAATGAATTATTGAAGTCCGAACTTGCAATTGTTGAAATCACCGCGTGTTTGGGGGGATTTCGGCATGCGCGCGCGGAGGCCGCGCGCATGTGCGCCTGATGGTATTATTTACAAGGGATGGCGCGTCTGGCAAGCGCGCGGAGGTTGTTGAGTTAGCTCGACGTGCGAGCGAAAGTGGCCCGTGAAGGCCCATTTGACAGGAATGTTGAAAAACCATTGGTTTTGAAAGGTTCTACAAGAGCGCGCGGGCAGAATTTCAAAAGTTGCTGGGTGAGAAAATCAATTTTCTATAATGAATTATTGAATTCCAATCTTGAAAATGTTAAAATTATACTGTTTAGACGGATTTCGACATGCGCGCGCTGCGGCCGCGCGTACTTGCGCCTTATTGTATTATTTCCAAAGGGGTTCGTGAAAAAGTGTGCCTCTGGCACGCGCGCGGAAGTTGTCGAATGAGTTCGGCGTGCGCGCGAAAAGTTGCCCGCGAAGCCCCGCGTAACATGAATGTTCGAAAATCCATTGGTTTTTGAATGATTACGCAAGCGCGCACGAACCGATTTTCGTAATTTCCAATGCGCAAGTGGTATTCGTTCCCATGAATTTTTGAAGTCCGATTTTGAAATTGTTGAAATCACGGTGTGTTTGGGGGGATTTCGGCATGCGCGCGCGGAGGCCGCGCGCATGTGCGCCTGATGGTATTATTTACAAGGGATGGCGCGTCTGGCAAGCGCGCGGAGGTTGTTGAGTTAGCTCGATGTGCGAGCGGAAGTGGCCCGTGAAGGCCCATTTGACAGGAATGTTGAACAACCATTGGTTCTGAAAGGTTCTACAAGAGCGCGCGGGCAGAATTTCAAAAGTTCTTGGGTGAGAAAACCAAATTTTTTACAATGAATTATTGAAACCCGATCTTGAAATTGTTGAAATCACCGTGTTTAAAATCATCTCGACATGCGCGCGCGGCGGCCGCGCGCATGCGCGCCTTATGGTATTCTTTACAAGGGATTCGTGACCCACCCGCAACTTGTTTTGCAAAACTTCTTAAGACTGATTACGACGACATCGACGGCAACGACTCAGACGACACCGGCGACGTTTCCGACGACGACGACAACGACGACGACGACGACAGCGACGACAACGGCGACGACATCGACGACGACGATCACGACGACGACGCCGACGCCAACGACGACGACGACGAAGACGACGACGACGCCAACGATTCCGACGACGACGACGTCGACGACGCTGACGGCGACGACGACGACGACGACGGCGGCGACGACGACGACGCCGACGTCGACGACGACAAAGACGACGACGACGCCGACGCCGACGCCGACGACGACGACGACGAAGACGACGACGATGTCGCCAACGAAGACGACGACGAGGGAGTAGGGAGGACGACGACGGCGACAACGACGACAACGACGACGGAGGAGGGAAGACGACGACGACGCAAACAACGAAAAGGAGGAAGGACGGCGACGCCGACGACGACAACGACGAGGGAGGAGGGAAGACGACGACGACAACGACGACGACGACGACGACAGCGACGAATTAGGAGGGACGACGACGAGACGCCGACGACGGACGACGACGACGACGACGAGGGAGGAGGAGGAAGGACGACCACGGCGACAACGAAAACGACGACGACGACGAACACGAGGAAAAACAGAGGACGACGTAGGCGACGACGACGACGACGCGGGAAGAGGGAGGACGGCGACGACGACGACGACGACGACGCAAGAGCGCGCGCGCACGCTGTTGTTGAAAATCCGTGTTGCGAAACCGTGTGTTGTTGTAGGTTTTTTGGACACACGATTTTGAAAGTCTTCCGCAACCGATGGGTTTTGAAGGATTTCGGCATACGCGCGCGACGACGCGCGCGTCTGCACGTCGCCCCATTTCTTGCAGGAGGATTCTCGCGACGGCACACGCGCAAGGGCGTTCGACAGATTTCGACATGCGCGCGCGAAGCCCGTCTGGTAACATTTTGTGAATTCTTGAAAAACCTATGGTTTTCTTAAGATGTCGCAAAAGCTCGCGCGGAAGCTTTTTCAGCGAATCCGTTTTGCGAAACCATATGTTTTTGTATGCTCTTTTGAAACTCGATTGCGAAATCCTTCCGGCACCGAAGGTTTTTGAAGGATTCCGGCATGCGCGCGCGACGACGCGCGCGCGCACAGCGTCCTAATTTTTGCAAGGGATTCGTGAACAATCGTTTTTTTGAATTCAAGGGAACGTCAGGGGGGCCGATACCGGCCCCCCTGGGATAGTGTAAATTCATATTTCGGATGGACATGTGGTCAGAATCATATATGGTTTACATACCCGAAAGGGGGGGCGGATAACGCCGGGGGGGGGGAGTCTATTCTCTTTTTTGAAAGGAGAATCCAGAGCAGCGACACGGCGGCGACGGAAACAACATATGCGCCAGGCCGACAGACAGGCCTAGAAGGTGACGCGACCTCTGCCACCACATGGGCTGGTAGGGACCGCGCACGAGCACCTCAGAGAACCAGGAAATATCATTCTCAGTCTTTCCTCCACCTCTTTCTCGACCTCGCCTCGGCACTGGCACGTCTCAGCTTCAGCCTCAGCCTCCCTAGCCTTGACACCCGCCGCAGCCACACACGTTTACTATGACTGCTACTACTACTACTACTACTACTACTACTACTACTACTACTACTACTACTACTACTACTACGTCGACGACTACTACTACTACTGCTACTACGACGATGACTACTACTACTACTACTATTACTACTACTACTACTACTACTACTACTACTATTACGAAAACGCCGGCTACTACTACTACTGCTACGACTACTACTACTACTACTACTACTTCTTCTACTACTACTACGACTACTACTACTACTACTACTCCTCCTATTGCTGCTGCTGCTGCTGTTACCACCACACCACCACGACGACTACTACTACTACTACTACTACTAACCCCTCCCATCATTACTACTACTACTACTACTACTACGACGACTACTACTACTACGACGCCGACTACTACTCCTACTACTACTGCTACTGCTACTACTACTACTACTAGTACTACCACAACTACGACTACGACTACTACTACTACTACTACTACTACTACCACTACTACTACTATTACTACTACTACTACTACTACTACTACTACTACTACTACTACTACTACTACTACTACTACTAGTACTATTACGACTACATCTACTACTACTACTACTACTACTACTACTACTACTACGACGACTACTACTACTATTACTACGATTAGTTGTACGATTAGTAGTACTATAACTCGTGCTATTACTACAAGTACTGCTACTACTACTGTTACAACCGCTAGCACTTCTACTACTATCACCACCACGACTACTACTACTACTACTACTACTACTACTACTACTACTACTACTACTACTACTACTACTACTACTAGTACTACCACCACTACGACTACTACTACTACTACTACTACTACTACTACTACGAATAATAATAATAATAATAATAATGATACGACTACTACTACTACTACTACGACGACGACGGCGGCGACGACGACGACTATTAACTACGACTGCTACAAATACTACTACTACTACTACTACTACTACTACTACGACTACTACTATTACTACTACTACTACTACTACCACTACTACTACTACTACTACTACTACTACTACTACTACTACTACTACTACTGCTACGACTACTACTACTACTACTACTACTACTACTACTACTACTACTACTACTACTACTACTACTACTACGACTGCGACTACGACTACGACTACGACTACTACTACTACTACTACTACTGCTATCACCACCACCTACTACTACTAGTAATACTACTAGTACTCGTACTCGTACTAGTAGTAGTAGTAGTAGTAGTAGTTGTTGTTGTTGTTGTTGTAGTACTACTCCTACTACTACTACTACTACTACTACTGCTAGTTGCTACTGATACTGCTAGGGCTTCTGCTACTTCTAACGGGTCTACTGAATGATTATGACACTCATCCTTCGTAAGAACTTGGCAAAAAGATGACGTGGGAAGGCGTTGATAATCGAACGGGTTCCCGCCCGTTCCCTGAAAAGGAAGACCAGGGGAACACCGTCCGACTCTTGAAAGAGGATGCCGCCTATACAGCAGATTGGGATCACGGGGGCCCACACATGCAGACGTTCAAAGACCGATGGGTCATCAGATTTGTTTGGCGGCGCGCACAAAGCGGGTAGAGGGAGGAGGGAAGGCTTCTTAGAAGGAGGCTGCTTGGGTCGTACACCTATCAATAGGTACATAAGGCCCTCGCCTCCTTCGAAGCCTTCCCCCCTCCCCCTGCCCCCATGCGCGCGAGGTTGATCTTTATGCATTTGTTCCACACGACGCCCAGATCTGAGAGGCGCAGCGCTGCGGACCGCGGTGCCTGGCCGGCGGCGCGGGGGTCGAAGGGGCAGGCCGTAGGCAGGAGGAGTAGGAGGAGGAGGAGGACCAGTGCAAACACAAGAGCCAACGATAATGGAATAAACCCTCCCTCCAAGCTCCCTCTTCATAGGCCCCTACAAGGGTTCATGTCCTCCGAAGGAACTGCCTCGTTGGAAGATAAGCGTTCGAAGACCCGGAAACATGACAAAACATTGTTCTCGGGATTCCAGCGCCCTGGATCAACTTGACTGTTGCGTCTTGACGGTCCTGGACCGTGCCAGAACGAGATTCATGGGACTTCAACACCGCGAACCAATGTAGTTCTTGCACCCTCATCATCCTGGGTCCTTCCAAAACTCTGTTTCTGGTACGCTGATCTGGGGAATCCGTGAAACTCTGGCGAGAAGAAAAAAACAACAGTTTGAAAACCACCCGCCCTCAATCCGTGCAGCTCTTGCAAATGATTAAAAAACATGTGCGCGGCGCTAAAGCGAGAACCACATGTTGAAAAGGAGCCGCCCTCAATCCGTGAAGCTCTTACAACTGGTTGACGTTTCGCGTATCCCCACCAGTTCGTCTCTGACGGTGCTGTTTGCCTGACTCACACCGAGCGATCGAACTCTGCGTGTTTATGGTCGCGCCGCCGCGCCATTTTGGCTGCGCTTACTTGCTGGTCGCCACCGGGATTTCCAACGCCACCGGGTTTGGGAATATCGGTTCTGGCTCTCCTTCCGAGTGGCTGCCCGCTGGATCGCTTCGCTTGCCTTTCTTTTCCTGCTGCCTAGTCGCGGACCGACTAGTGTTCGGACGGCTTTCGACCCGCCTCGCGAGCCTGTTGACCAAAAAATATTCCCATCAACCCATCCAGAAGCGGTGCGTATGGGAGTCGGAGTAGCCAGGGAAGCGGGTGAGCACGCATAATAACAGAAGGCAGCAACAAAAACGATAGGAGGAATAGGAAGAGGTGCCAGAGGAGCAGAAGGAGGAGGAGCAAGAGGATGATGAAGAGGAGAATAAGTATGCGGGAAGATAATGAGGAGGGAGGAGAAGGAGGAGGAGGAGGAGGAGGAGGAGGAGGAGGGGGGAAGAGAAGAAGGACGAGGATGAGGAGAAGGAGGAGGGAGGAGGATCACAATAAGGTGAAGGACGGGGTAGGAGAGAGGAGGGGCGAGGAGGAGGAGCATGCGGATGAGGAGGCGGAGGAGGAACAGGAAGAGGAGGAGAGGTCTGACAAAAGAGCCAGATGCGTCTTGGAATATCCCGGTATGTATGTATGTATGTATGTATGTATGTATGTATGTATGTATGTATGTATGTATGTATGTATGTATCTCTCTATATGTATGTATGTATGTATGTATGTATGTATGTATGTACGTACGTACGTACGTACGTACGTACGTACGTACGTATGTATGTATGTATGTATGTATGCATGCATGCATGCATGCATGTATCTATGTATGTATGTATGTATGTATGTATCTCTCTCTAAATACATATAGAGAGAGGCAGAGGAATCTTGTTGGAGGCTTCTTGGGGCGTCTAAAGGGCCTCTTGGCGGTTTCCCGGTGTGCTTTGGAGAGGTGCGCGCGGGCAGGCGGCGCCCCGCCCGCCCGCGGGGCCGGAGAGGATGGTCCAAGACGTCTCTTGAGGCTCTCGTGCAGGACGTCGATCAAAGGAGCTGGGTCCCTTCACTATCGGGTCGGGCGAAAGGGGGGAAAGCAAAGGGGGGGTTTGAGAATCAGCTCACGTAGCTGATTTTCCCGGCGCCTCCCGGCGCCGGAGGCGGCTATGTATCGAGGAATGGGGCCCTCGGCGAGGCCGAAACCAGCTGCATGCAGCAAATTTCGTAACCCCCCCTTTCCCAATCCCCCCCTTTCGCCCGACCCGACACTAGCCTCGCCCTTCGGGAGCTCCCCAAGTCGCCTCTTGGAGCGCTCTTGGGGCGCTCTTGGGGCGCTCCTGGGCGCTCCCGGGGGCGTCTTGGGGCTCGCTTGGGCTCCTATTGGGGCTATCTTGGGCCATCTTGGAGCTATATACAATGAGGCCTCGGATGGGCATTGGAAGCGAAACGGCGAGAAAGCCAAAAACATTGATTTCCCCAAGGTTTTTGAAGCATGTTGGCCTCTTGGGGGCATCCCTGGGAGCGTTTTTGGCAACTCAGAGCCATCTTAGGGGCAGTCTTGGGGCGTCTTGGAGCATCTTGGGAGCCATCTCGAGGCATCTTGCGCTATCTTGAGCCATCTTCGAGGCCATCTTGGGCTCACTGAGGCCCTCTTGGGGCCATCTTGGGCGCCCTGACACCTCGCGACCGGCCCCGTCCAGGTCCAGGGGAGGGGGCAGGGTGAGGGGTAAACCCCTCCCCGAAGGGGAAGAGGGAGGGGTGGAATAGAAACGCTTTAGACCACCGACGCCGAGAGGGCTGGTGGGATTCAAAAAAGAACGTGCGAGGCGCTGGAGCGAGATCCACAATTTGAAAACGACCCGCCCCCAATCCGTGAAACCCTTGTGAATTTCAAAACTGCTGTGCGCGGCGCTGAGGCGAAAACCACATTCTGAAAACCACCCGCCCTCAATCCGTGAAGCTCGTGCAAGTGTTGAAAATGAATGTGCGCGGCGCCTAGGCGAGAGCCGCATGTTGAACACGACCGCCCTCCATCTGTGAAACTGCTGCCAGTTCTTAAGCTTCAGGGTCATGAGTGGTGAGGAAGTCTCAGGCGTAACGCCCAGCCCGCCCTAAAGACTGGCCTCGGGGTGCGACACGCAGAAATTATCTACAAGCAGAAGGAATGGAGGAGGGGGGGGGGCTGCCGCCCGAGAGGGCAGTCCCGGGGGGAAGGCTTCCTCGGAGGGGCCGAGCCCCTTCCCCCTTGGGGGCATTGCGGGGCCCAGACCTGCTCGCGTCGTGCCCCCAAAAATCAGGACTGAGAATTCTTGGCCGCTTTCGGCTTCTGGGGGCCCTGGCCAGGCTCCCGGGCCGTCAGCCTCCGGGGAAAACCAGCAAATACCGATACCGATGCCGCCACTCCCCGGACCTCTCCCAGGGTGCGTTTCGGTGAGGATCGCGAAGCTGGCTCAGCCCTGGCGACGAGAGCATCCGGTAGAGGCCCAGAACTGGCGAAGACAAGGCCTGGGCAACGGCATCGGTGCCCTTCTCTCCTCTGATCCTTCGCCCTGCCCTCTTCGTGCGCGCCACCGATATTCTCCGAAAGCAACGCACGGAAGCTTCTGGTCGTCCCCGCAGCGCCCAATAGCGAGCCCAATCGCGCGCAAAGTGGACATGGTGCATCTCCCCCACTTGGCGCCATTGAGGGCTATTGGTCGCTATTGGGAGCTATTTTTATGCTATTCGGTGCCACTGGGCGCTACCAGACGTTATTTCGCGCTATTCAGCGCTGCTTGGCTCTACCGAAGGCGCTCTGCGCGGCTGCTGGGCGCTATTGAGCGCGCTCTGCGTCATTATCTTGCCGCGCCGTTTGTTCTCGTCGCGCCCGAGTGGACGACGCCGACACCACGGCAAACTCACGGCAAACTTTGTGTCCCGCACTTGAGGAGACGCAGCCGGCGCCGCGGCAAACCCCACGGCAAACACGCCGCGCCCGAAGCGGAGTTTGTCCTGGTGGCCGCGGCGTCCTCCCCAAGACGCAAGGCCGTGCGTCGGAACAAACGGCGCGGCGATATCATATAATTATACATTCCACTCAGCCCAAGAAGCTTCCGTGACTTCCCATCGAATCCTCGTGCTGCAGGAGGCGCGCCCTCCACGTCACAGCAGCACGAGCACCGCGTCACTGCGGCGCACCGCGCGGCCGGCCAGACGCCACGCGCACCACGGCGGGCGGCGCGGCCGCGCCAGCCGCAGACGCCATGGACGCCATGCGCACCAGGGGCTCCTGCGGCCGAGTTGGAGGCCTCCTAGATGGGATCCTATCGGCCCAGACCACATCTGGGAGACCTAAGCGAGTTCTCTCCTCCCTCCTCCTGCTGCTGCTGCTGCTCCAGCTTCCTCTCTCTCTCTCCTCTCTCCTCCTCTCTCCTCTCTCTCCTCTCTCTCTCCTCCTCTCTCTCCTCTCTCTCTCTCTCCTCTCCTCCTCTCCTCCTCCTCCTCCTCCTCCTCCCTCCTCCTCCTCCTCCTCCTCCCTCCTCCTCCTCCTCCTCCTCCTCCTCCTCCTCTCCTCCTCTCTCCTCCTCTCTCCTCCTCTCTCCTCCTCTCTCCTCGAAGCCTCGAATCTGGCGGCCTCTGTCCGCCGTGGGGTGCAGCCGTCGCCCCCGTCGCCTGCCCGCACTCCCCTCCGAGGCGGGCGCGGCGGGGGCACTCGGGAAAACGGCTCGGTCTGGCCGCTGGTGGGGCCGACGAGCGCGAGGGGAGGGACATGACACGCGGGGGTTACGTTGCTCCCATCGTACTTCAGGGCCGCATCTCAGACATCATTTCGAACACCCAGGAGAGCGTCGAGACAGTGTCGAACGAGTATCGCCTCCCAGGGCCCGACGCGTGGAAACCCTGAGGTTTCGGTACTTTCCTGGCGCTCGACATGATTTCTGGTGATCAAGGCTAAAGTAGGTTGGAACATCATGAAAGCGGGGGCCGAAAGGAAGGTCGAGGAAGGGACCGAACCGAGCGCGTGAGGGACAGGGGTGAGAAAAAGAGAGAGAGAGAGAGAGAGAGAGAGAGACGCGCAGGTGCGGCGAGGCGCCGCCGAAAGAAAGGTCGAGGAAGGGACCGAACCGAGCGCGTGAGGGACAGGGGTGAGAAAAAGAGAGAGAGAGAGAGAGACGCGCAGGTGCGGCGAGGCGCCGGCCAGCGGGCGGACCCCCCAGGGTGGACCACCATGTGAGGGGCCCTCCTCCTCCTCCTCCTCCTCCTCCTCCTCCTCCTCCTCCTCCTCTTTCTCGTTGTCCTCCTCCTCCCTCCTCCTCCTCCTCCTCATCCTCCTCCTCCTCCTCATCCTCCTCCTCCTCCTCATCCTCCTCCTCCTCCTGCGATCGTGAGCCAAAACGTTCTATAAAGATAAACGTCTTGGGTGTCCGCACGGACTTCTTGGGTCGGCGCTGGAGCCCCGGGGACTGGTGCTGATTCAAGAATCAGCGCGGACCTCCGAAAGTTGATGTGTGTATGTATATATATATATAGATAAATGTGGGAGGACGAAACGGGTCCCGTACGATCCTTGTCTTTTTCAATGTCATCTTTCATAGTCTCACGTCTCTTGTCTTCCGCCAGTATCTTCGCCCTTCCCTTCTCCATTCTCCTCCACATTATATTTGACTTCCTCCTCCTCCTCCTCCTATTTTTCCTCCGCCTCCTCCTCATCATCCTCATATTTTCCCACTCTCTCCTCCTCTGCCTCTGCTTCTTTCCCCTTTTCCTCACGATCCTCCTCCATATTCTCCTCATCCTCCTCTCCTCGAAAGACTTCCACGACGCCCAAGACGGCCCCGAGACTCCTGGCCTTGCCCCCGCTCCTTGAAACCCCTTTCGGGGAAAATCCGCCCGCCCCAGGAGGCCCCAGGGCGGCCTCGGGAGCTTCTGGGGGGGAGGGGGGGTTGAGGGAGGGCCCGGGGGCCTCAGGAGATCCCGAAAGATCCCGAGAGCTCCTAGGAGGGCTCAGGATGATGTAAAACACAAGGCCCTGAAGGGGGATGTCCGCCGTGGCTCAACAGCGCGGGAAAAAGGGGGCAATAAATTGATTGTTAATAGATGCAAGGGTAAACAATGCGATGACGATGAGAGCGAATAATACAAGAAGAATACAAGAGGAGGAGGAGGAGAACAGTAAATAGCCCACGCTTGTGACCCACCCACAGTGGGGTCGGCGGGAGCGCGCGCCTGTTCCCCCCCATCATATGTGGGGATAGCGGATCTCGAGCACCAAACAGGCCTTCATATTTGAGGGCATTGGATCTAAACTTCCGGGAGATCACCAAGACGGCCCAAAACGTTCGCAAGATGCTTCAAGAGATCCCGGAAAGACCTCCCAAGAAAGCTCAAGAAGCCCAGAAGTGGTGTACAAAATAATTGTAATTGATACATACATGGATAATGGGCGAAATGCTAATATCAAAAACTATCTGACGGGAACATATGGGAACATGAGCAAACCTATAGCGCGTCAACATACTATTTCTTGATATCCAGCTTGGTAATATCATCATTGTTCTGGGACCGGGCTCGCGAATCACAGTTAAAGTTGGATTTTCCCACAACGCTGGGACCGGCGAGCCCCGGCCTGCCGGCGCGGCTCACAGGCTGGCGGGCCTGCGCAGCCCCGCGGCCTCGAGGGCGCCCAGGGTCCCACCGCTGCGGTGCGACTCCCCATCGGGCTGCGGCGGCCGCCTGGGCCCTCGGCCGGGCCTTCGTCGAGCGCCGCTGGACGTCCAGCGCTGGACGCTGCTGAAGGTCATGCGCGCGGTGCCTCGGCCCCGCTTGGACTGGTCCGGGATGTCGGCCAAGTCCATGAACACCGTGGCCGAGAAGGCGAGCTGGCGCTGGCGCAGGTGGGTCGGCATGAAGTGGAGGGTTTGCGACAAAATTTCCGTGGAGGTTGAGATATCACCCTTGGTCTGGCCCAGGAGCGCGACATACGCCTCCTGGACCCACGCCACAAACTGGTCGTGTTGGTTCATCTTGACCCAGCTCAGAAACTTCGCGTCCTCGCAGGTGCCGAAGCAGTGCTGGAAGCTGTCGGAGAAGCACAGAATGTCGTAGCCAGCCGAGAGCACGTCGAACCAGAAGGCGGGGGCGCCCCCCTCGAAATCATTGAAAAACGTCGAGCCTGAAGGATCCGAGCCCAGGGACTGCTCCAGGTCCAGAGCGCCCAGGTCGCCGACGCTGCTGCTGCTGCCGTTGCTGCTGCCGCCGCTGTCTTCAGCGTCCTCTGGCGGACCGGGGGGCGGCCTCGGCGGCGTTCCCTGCAGGTCCTGCTTTGGCCGGCCACCCCGCCGGCGCAGCTGCCTGATCTCCGCCAGACGCCCTAGGTTTGGCAGAAGCATGGAGTCAGAGTCGCTCACCTCCAGGACGCCCACCTTGAAGGCCATGAGCCCGCCCTGGCAAAAATAGGACACGGCGAACACGTGCACGTTCACAGGCATGCCCGTGCTGTCCTTCATCAGCACCTGGAAGGTCTTGCTCAGGTCTGAGTGCTCCTTCCCGCAGTCCCGCAGCTGCCCCATCTGTTCTGTGAACTTGCTGTTGTCGGATTCGGACACCAAGAACGAGCGGATGTCCTCCTGCTTGAGGCTGCGCTGGGGATTCAGGAACAGCATGTCAGCTAGCTCCCGCGAGTGCCTCTGCAGCCTGAACTCCGCGTCGAGGTCGACCACCACCTCGCACACACAGCCGAGCACCGAGGTGGCCGCCCGGAGCTCCTGCCTGGATAACTTGGACTGGAGCTCCAGGCGAACGATGTAAGTCAGGAGGTGGTGAAACACGATGATCATGCCCACCAAGAGAATCATGTTCTGAAACCCGTCGCTCAATATCTGCTCGAAGCTGTACTCATCACTCTGGATTTCCTCTGCGTTCTCCCCGAACATCAGCGTGTAGGTGGACGAGACGCATAGCACAAACAACCATGGGATGTTCACTATCGGCTTCAGATTCCAGAGACATAAGAAAAGGCTGAGAATGTAGATCATGCTCATGCGATAGGCGACCAGGTCTGCACGGATCGCATACGGTGACAGGTACACTACCAGGCAGGCCATCAGCGCAGAGAACCAGTAGTCCAAAGACCTGGCCGTCACGACGAAGACTTGCGCCCATTGCGATGCCCACATGATGGATATCATGCCGCTGAAGACGGAGAGAGCGATGTCCTGAACGATCGACCCGAACCTCTTCACGGAGCCCCCGTCCAGCCCGCTGCGCACGGTGAAGACGAAGAAATTCGTGAAGACCAGTGCCTGCGCCCAGGGGAGGATCCGCAGGGCGCGCGTCAGCCGCCGGCGCTCCAGCTCCTCGCACAGCGAGGCCTCGCAGGCGCCGTCCTGGCGCGCCCGCCGGCCGCAGGTGGCGCCCGACGCCAGCAAGGAGCCCTCGCAGAGGCGGCGGCCCCGCAGCAGGCCGACGAGCACCACGAGGCAACAGGCGAGGAGGCCGCAGGCGCCGACCATGAACACCACAAAGTCGCGCTGCCTTGAGGCCACGAAGTTGCCCGGCGAGAACTGGGCCATGCCCTCGTCCGGCAGGCCCGCGTGGGGCGCCGGAGGTGAGATTACCCGAGCCGAGCTTGAGCCAAAATGGCTACGGACCCTTTTGGGGGCCCTCTTGGGAAGCTTCCTGCAAGCCTCTTGGGGAGTCTCGGGGCCCTATTGGACCGGCTTGAGGCCATACTAAGCAATCTTGCAAAGATCTTGGAAGGTCTTGTGGTCTCTTGGAGCGTTCTGGGGCCGTCTTGGAGCCGTCTTTGACCTCTCTTGGGCCGCCTTGGGGAGTCTCTTGGGCCGCCCTGGACTCCTCTTGGGCCGTCTTGGGGGCCTCTTGGGGAAAAGGGTCTTTAGACCTGTCCCCGCTCCTCCCCCCTCCCCTGGACCCCTACCTGGAGGGCTTCGCCTCAACTCAACGTCATCACTCGTACCTCTTTTCGTCACCTAGTCACCTAAATCCCCCCGCCTCCCCCCCCTCCCCTGCACCCATCCCTAAAGGGCTTCGCCCCAACTCAATGTCATGACTCATACGTCGCTCTTTCCGTCACCTGGGCCGGCACGGGAACGGAAAGCGATGGTACTCTGTGAGGGCATGAGCTCGCTTGCTCAGTGTCTTGGAGCCCTCTTGCTGTTATGACTTTGGCACGGCATACGAACAACGAACAACAAACCTTGCGAAGATCAGTCAATATCGCCTCTCTGGGCCTTCTGCCGTCTTGGGGCCCTCTTGGATCGTCCTGGGGCC